CTTCCTAAATTTTGGGGGTAAAAAAGACAGAAAACTTATTTGTGTTGTCTACCTGCTCCCTAAATTTTGGGTTTTATTCACGTGCAAGTTGAACTTGGGGTTCTCAGGAGCTTATAGGAATTGCTGGAGTGCTGATGTTATTTTTTTCCCTTCCTTGCAGCCCCTCTGGCTGTACATTCTGGGGCAAAAAGCCATGGAGCCGTAAAAAGAAGATTCTCTGGCAGCTGGGCACGTTGATTGGAGCTCCTGTGGGCATTTCCCTCATTGCTGGCATTGCCATTCCTGCCATGGTCATTGGCATCCCTGTGTACGTGGGGAGGAAGGTGAGTTTGGGGGACAGAAGGGTTTTGGGGTGTTCTCTGTGCTGAGCAGAAATTTAGAGCTGATAGGAAGGGTGGATCTTCTCATAGAACCCAAATTCAGTTTTCTCTTCTAAAGCTTTGCTTATCTCCTGGGCTTTGTGTGGGCGGGGGAAGGTGGTGGCTGATAGTCCTGGTGCATTTTACATTTCTTTTGTGCCTCTGCCTTGACCCAGGAGCACCCAGGGTTCCCTTTTGAGCCCATCAGCTCTGTACTTGTGGTTGCTTCTTTTTCTTGAACACAGACCCTGTGAGGAGATCTGTGTTCAAAATGAGGTTCTTCAAGGGCTCATGCAGCTGGCAAAGCTGTAAAACCACTTCTTAATGTCCCCTGGGACTCTGCTGTTCTCACCTGGTGCTTTTTCTCCTATCAGATCCACAGCAGGTATGAGGGGAAGAAAACCTCCAAGCACAAGAGGAACTTGGCCATCACTGGTGGGGTCACCCTGTCTGTCATTGCCTCCCCGGTCATTGCTGCTGTCAGTGTGGGTAAGTGGGCTCAGCCCTGTCCCTGCTGCTGGCCCAGGAGCCCCTGAGAGCAGGGGGTGGCCCAGCCCTGTGCCATGGGGGTGGCTTTGGGCACAGTTGGCAGAGTGCAGCTGCCTGTGGCTTTGGGCACAACGCTGTCTCACATCCTGGTGTGCTCAGGCTGGCCCACAGCCAGCACAGGGCTTGTCTGCAGCTCCACAGCCCATCCTGGAGTCCCTTTGTCACACAGAGCTGTCTCCTGTCATGCTTTGGTGGCTGATGTCCTTGGGGGTTCAGTGCCCTTGGGGTTCCCCCACTCAGCCCACAGTGCTCCTCCACTCTCTGTCTGCATAATTGTGAATTGGAACCTTTAAAAGCGACAAAAACACGGCTGATAGAGTCCCTAAAAAATCTTAACTCATCTTTAAGCTCCTCCTAACCCAGCCCATCCTCCTCTGCAGGAATTGGGGTCCCCATCATGCTGGCCTACGTCTATGGGGTCGTGCCCATCTCGCTGTGCCGGGGCGGTGGCTGCGGGGTCAGCACAGCCAATGGAAAGGGGGTGAAAATCGAGTTTGATGAAGATGATGGACCCATCACAGGTAATGAGTGGTGATGGGAAGGGGGTGAAGCAAAATGCTCTCGTAATGAAGTGCTTTGAGGTCCTGATGCCTCCCAAATCTGAGACATCAAAACCGAGCGTTCCCTTTGCCAATTCCAACCCCTGTGCTCTCCTTCCCCGCAGTGGCCGATGCCTGGAGGGCCCTGAAGAACCCCAGCATTGGAGAGAGCAGCATTGAGGGGCTGACCAGCGTGCTGAGCACCAGTGGCAGCCCCACGGACGGGCTCAGTGTCATCCAGGGCAACTACAGTGAGACTGCCAGCTTTGCTGCCCTGTCCGGGGGCACCCTGAGCGGGGGGGTCCTCTCAGGGAGCAAGGGCAAATACAGCAGGTAAGGGGGCTCTGGGAAAAGCTGAGGGGACCCCAAGGCTCCCTCAGCTCTGTAGGCTCACTGAAGTGATGCATGTAGTTTAAAAGTCATGGGTAAATTCTTCATTGCATATGAAAAGTTGTCTTTTTTTTTTTCCTCTCTTTTTTAATTTATTTCCATTCCATGCGAGGGTTAGACACATTTCTTTCTGGAGTAATGCCCCCCCAGCAGAGTTTCTGGAGGTTTGAAAGCAGCCATGTCCATAAGGGCAGGCCTCAATGTGGCTTTCCAGTGCTTAAAGAGTCTTAGTAAAAAGCTGAAGAACAACTAATTGCAAAGGAAGGTAATTGTAGGACAAGGGGGAATGGCTTTAAAGTGAAAGAGAAAAAATTTAGATCATATGTGAGGAAGAAATTCTCCCCTGTGAGGGTGGCAAGGCCCTGGCACAGGGTGCCCAGAGAAGCTGTGGCTGCCCCTGGATCCCTGGAAGTGTCCAAGGAAAGGGTGGATGGGGCTTGGAGCACCCTGGGATGGTGGAAAGTGTGTTTGATAGTGGAAAGTGTGTTTGATAGTGGATAGTGGGTTTGTTTTTGGGAGCTTTCCAGGAGTGTGAGTGAAGCTGCTTTGATCTAGGGGCTGTGTTGTGGTGTTTTGTGTTGGTCTGTTGTAGAATAACCAGGTCTAGGAGATCACCTGGGATGATCTGGAACCCAGAGCCACCCAGGGTGGGGAGACATTGGCAGAGATTGCCCAGAGAGGTTGTGGGGTCCCCATCCTTGGAGATATTCCAAGACCAGGTTGGATGGGGCTCTCAGGTCTAGGAGAAGGTGTCCCTGCATGTGATGGTTGGAACTGGACGATCTTTAAGGTCCTTTCCAAACCCAAACCATTCCATGATCTTGTTTCTGATGCCAGTCTAGTTCTTGCAAGGAGGACAGATCCCTCCTGAGCTCCTTGACACCACAGAGCTGATGCTTCAGCTGAATTGGGAACAGCACAGAGCTCCTGCCTGCCCTGCTTAAAGCCATCCCAGCCCTGTTAGCCCAGCCTGGAGGCTTTGGTGCTTCCTGTTCTGCAGGCAGGGCCATGGCTCTCCAAAAGTCAGGAGGTTACACCACAGTTTTTCCTCCTAACTTGCCTGTGAGTCAGTTTGCTGGGTAATTAGAGCCACGTGTTGATGTGGCAGCCAGGATGCAATCGCCGTGTGAGATCCATGGAAATCAGCTCTTCGCAGGAATCGTGTGAGTCATGGATGTAAACACGGCTTCACCTTCGTCATGGAAAACAGAATGGATCTGCCTGAATGCAGCCAAAAATGAGACTGAATGAGAGCAGCCACTGGGGTTAAACTCCTGGGCCAGCTCACGGGGATTGTTGGTTCCCCTTGAGGAGCAGGGATGGGATTCTTGCTTTCCCTTCAGGAGCAGGGATGGGATTCTTGCTTTCCCATGAGGAGCAGGGATGGGATTCTTGCTTTATTTTTCTTGCTTTCCCATAAGGAACAGGGATGTGTTGGTGCTCCTAAAGCATTTCTGAGGAACCCTCTTCTTCCCCACAGGCTGGAAGTGCAGGCAGATGTGCAGAAGGAGATTTTCCCCAAAGACTCGGTCAGTTTGGGGGCCATCAGCGACAACGCCAGCACCCGAGCCATGGCTGGTTCCATCATCAGCTCCTACAACCCCCAGGACAGGTAGGAGGAGGTGGAGTGCTGAGGAGAGCGTTGGTGGAGGCTGTCCTGGAGAAACGCAGGCTCTGTGGGTGGTGGGATGGCCGTGTTTGCACAGGGATCCATCCTTCTAGCACAGGGGACAGTTTGGGGGCAGATTCCATGTGTGGGATGGGGATCTGCAGAGCCCAGCACCCTCAAGGGCTGTTCTGGCACTTTGAGGGGATTCTGGAGCTTTCCTTGGCTCAGCTTTGGGATGATCCTGGCTCTGTTGGGAGAATTCAAGGAGAGCAACGAGTGTTGGGGTGATGAGCAGCATCTTGCTCATGTTTGGGGGGTGTCATCCTCCATCCTTCTGGAGGCACAGGAGGGGCTGGGGTCGGTTTGGGAGCAGATTCCATGTGTGCTGTGGAGGCTGGGGAGGGGATCTGCAGAGCCCAGCACCCTCAGGGGCTGTTCTGGCACTTTGAGGGGATTCTGGAGCTTTCCTTGGCTCAGCTTTGGGGTGATCTTGGCTCTGTTGGGAGGATTCAAGGAGAGCAGCGAGTTGTCTCCCAACAGATCCAAGATCATCCCATCTTGCTCATGTCTGGGGGGTGTGATGCTCCCAGTAGAGCCCAGTAACGTGAGGGTGGTTGTTCCTGCAGGGAGTGCAATAACATGGAGATCCAGGTGGACATTGAAGCCAAGCCCAGTCACTACCAGCTGACCAGCGGCAGCAGCACAGAGGACTCCCTGCACGTCCACACCCAGATGGCAGAGAACGAGGAGGAAGAGGAGGAGGACGAGGAGGAGGAAGAGGAGGAGGACGACAAGCAGGAGCAGACGTGCCAACACCAAAGCTGTGAGCAGCAGGACTGCATTGGCAGCCAGACGTGGGACATCACCCTGGCCCAGCCCGAGAGCATCCGCAGCGACCTGGAGAGCTCGGACAGCCAGTCTGACGACGTGCCCGACCTCACCTCGGACGAGTGCGAGTCCCCCCAGTGCCAGACTGCAGCAGGCTGCCCCCAAACCCCCCGAGCAAGAGGTGCCCAGAGCCCAAGTGCCCACCTGAGCCACTGTGCCCAAGCCGAGGGCTGCAGGCTGGATGAGATGGTCCAGCTGGAATGCATCGAGGCCAGAGTGTGAGCTGAGCACGTTCCCACTGGCACTCTGCAGCTGCTGGGCCGGGGTTGTGTCCCTGTTGGCTTCTGTTTGCCATCCTCCAGCTGGCTCCCCCAGCCTCGCCCTGGGGAGTTGTTTCTTACAGAAAAAAAACCCAAAAAAAAAAAAACAAAGGAAAGGAAAAAAAAAATCCCCCTTTGCCCTCTTTTTGTTTTAATTTATTGGTTCAAACTCTGTGAGGTGTGTAAGAGTGTAAATATGTACGTGTGTCTGTATGTCTGCAACCATCCTAAGGGACTCTTGGAATAAAGACTCTGGTTGTCATTGGGCCTGAATCCAGCTCGTCCTTTCCGAAGGCAAATCTTCCAGCTGCCTTTGCCCACGTGAATGCTGTTCCCAAAGGCTTGGGAAGAGGAGAGGTCTCTCCTCTCCCTCTCCCTGTGCAGCAGGGCTGGGTACAGGTGAAAGGAAGGGAAGAATGGGGAAAAAAGGCAAATTTCCAGCCCTTGCGGAGCTGAGAGCAGTGGCTCAGGTGGGACACTGGGGACAATGCCTTTCCCCAGAGCAGTCCCAGGAACCAGAGTTGTCCCTGGAATTAAATTGTTGGACCCCACAGCCCTCCCAGCAAGGCTCTGTCCCCATCCCAGTGCCTGGAATTTCCCTGGAAGCTCCCTGAGGGCCACCAAAGCATCTCCTGAGTCACCTTTGGCCAAGTCACTGCTGCCCTGACCCCTCTGCTTTGCCCTGGCACTGCAGGGCAGTCCTGGCACTGCTGCCCTGTCCCTGGCACTGTCCCACCCCAGGGCTGCCCCTTCCCAGACGCTCAGCCCGTGGGTCCTGGCCGGATCCACGGCTTTGGGGGCTGCTGGGGGCATGGGGATGGGTGGCGAGGGGGTGAGNATCACCACTGCAGCACCTCCCCTGCCCAATTCCTGTGTTCCCAGCACAATCCCATTCCCAAAATGCTGCACTGGGCTGGATCCCAGTGCCCAAACCCCAAACCTGGAGCTCAGGGAGGGTTCCCAGGTTCACGAGTGGGAATTTTTCATTCCTGTGCTGTGTCCAGGTCCCTGTGCTCCTCAGGGCCTGGGCTGCTCCTGTTCTCCACCACACCAGGATGGCCGTGGGTGTGTCCAGGGGGGTTTGGTGCTCAGCACACAACCGGCACCATCCCTAAAATCTTCTGGGATACTGGGACAAACTGGGACAGGGCAAAGCAGGAGGGGCTCAGCCCCTCGTTGTACCAGTGAGCACAACCAGGGCGTCCCAAATACCCCACAGACCCCTCCCCGTGGGCCCAAGCTGTCCCCAGAGCCTGTCCCTGTCCCCAGAGCGTGTCCCTGTTCCTGTGACACACGGCCAAGGTAAGCGGGCCAGGGTGGGGCAGGGGCTGCGGGAAGAGCCGGGGATTAAAGGCAAATACGGAGATAATGAGGATCTTTGGGAAAAAGCCCATTTGTATAATTTAAACCTCTAATAGGCTTCCTGGAATACAAAGCCCTTTGTGATGCCCCATCTCATCGGGATCAGGAGCCACTCTCTCGCTAAACCTTGATGTTTCATAACATTTCATAACGGGGCGGCTCCATCCTGTGTCCTTGTGTCCCCCATGTCCCTGTGTCCCCATTTCCCCGTGTCCTCTGTATCCCCATATCCCCATGTCCCCCGTGTCTCTCATGTCCTCATGTCCCCGTGTCCCCATGTCCCAGTGTCCTTGTGTCCCCCATATTCACATGTCCCCATGTCCCCATATCCCCGTGTCCCCCATACCTCCATATCCCCATGTCCCATGTACCCAAGCCCCAAGTGTCCCCNTGGGGAATTCAACACTCATTTCGTGGGGAATTCTACATTCATTTCATGAGGGATTCAACCCTCGTTTGCTGGGGGGTTCAACGCTCCTTTCCTGAGAAACTCAATGCTCCTTTCTTGGGAAATCCAACCCTCCTTTGCTGGGGGATTCAACAAACTTTTCCTGGGGAATTCTACACTCATTTCGTGGGGAATCCAACCCTCCTTTCCTGGGGAATTCAGCACTCGTTTTTTTGGGAAATTCAACCTTCCTTTCCTGGGGGATTCAACACTCTTTTCCTGGAGAATCCAACACTTATTTCTTGGGGAATCCAACACTCCTTTCATGGGGGATTCAACCCTCATTTCATGAGGAATTCAACCCTTCCTTCCTGGGGGATTCAACCCTTCTTTCCTGGGGAATCCAATGCTCCTTTCCTGGGGAATTCAGCACTCCTTTTTTTGGGAAATTCAGCACTCCTTTCCTGGGGGATTCAACCCTCCTTTCATGGGGGATTCAATGCTCCTTTCCTGGGGAATTCAGCACTCCTATTTTGGGAAATTCAACCCTCCTCTTTTGGGAAATTCAACGCTCCTTTCCTGTGAGATTTAATGCTCCTTTCCTGGGAGATTTAACGCTCCTTTTCTGGGGGGTTCAACCCTCCTTTCCTGGAGAATCCAACCCTCCTTTCCTGGAGAATCCAACCCTCCTTTCCTGGAGAATTCAACAAACCATTCCTGTGGAATTCAGCTCTCCGGGACTCATTGCTGTGTGAGGGGAATCTCCGCTCCATTCCCAGCAGGGAGAGGATCCCGGTGTCCCAGGGGCTGCTCGTGGCTGACCCCCCTGTTTTTCCCCACAGACCATCTCCTGTGGGGTCTGTGCCCTGCTGCTCTCCCGGTCCCTCGGCCCTGCTGCCCTGGTAAGCACCCCCAGCCCCTCTCCCATCACCCAGCGAGGCTGCACGGCCCCCGCAGCCCCTCTGTGGCTCCATCCTGAGCAGGCACATCCCCACACTGCCTCTCCTCTTCCCCTCTGCAGAAATGGGCTCTGCTG